AGTACCAAGTTTGGTTCCCAGCACCTACATCAGGCATCACACAATTGCCTGTAACTTCAACTCCAGAGTATCCAACATGGACAACTGCACTCGAATGTACACACCCTCACACAGACACACACCCATACACAGAATTAAAAATGAAGTTATGGTATTTAGTAACCTCATTATAAAATCATATCATGGAAAGCATAACCATACTTTCATTGCCTTTCTTTGTAAACAATGTGTGTTTTGCTTTGTGTATGCAAACCTTTTTTTTCTGATAAAGAGCTGAAAGTTTCAGACAGCCAAGAGGACCCAGATGCTAAGGAACTGCAGAGCCAGTGATTGCTTCAGCTGCCATTTCAAGTAGCTAAACCTTCTAGGTTGTCTATTAGGGAAGGGCTTATAAAGGCAGACATGACAAGTGTTTATTTGCACTATGTGTATGCTAGGTCCTTTCCGGTATGGGAGGACTTATCACTGGACAAGGGAAACACCCCTGCCTTTGTAGGGCTAAAGTATGCGGTGTGTGTGTGTGTGTGTGTGTGTGTGTGTGTGTGTGTACATGGTATAAGTAGGTATCATGATTAATATAATTTATGATTGTTAATTATACATTATATATGATATAAAATAACACTTATATATTAATTATACATTATACAATGTAATGTGTATTATTACCTAACTCTTTGGGACTTTGTTCATGTTATTTAAGAGGGGATCAAGTAAAATCCTGAACTCTTTTTTATGGTTGAGAGGAAGGTTTTTTTAATTTTATTTTACTTGATTAATATTTTTTCATTTATTTTACTTACTGACCACAGTTTTCTCTCTCTCCTCGCCTCCCATTCCTTCCCACCTACTTCCATCTAACCCCTGTGCATCCACTCCTCCTCCATCTCCACTCAGAAAGGGGCAGACCTCTCATGGACTTGAACAAAGCATGCCACATCAAGTTGAAGTAGGATGGAGTTCCTCCCCCTGCGTCAAGGCTGGGCAAGTTAACCACGCACGAGAAACAGATCCTGAACTTCTTTATGACTAAGTTTGGAAAACTGCTAGAGCTGGCCCCTGCACTCAGGAGAGATGGTTCCACCCCTCACCACAGGCAAGGGAGAACTGAGCCTGATGGCATGGGCATAGGGGAGCTGGCTCTGTCCCCTCGCCTGAAGTGAATGACCCCAGTGACCAGTTCATCTACTATCCAGGCTCACAGCCAGGCCTTGGCTTGGCCCACCCTAACATCTGCCCTATCTAGGATGTGCTAGAGCTGGGGAAGGGACTGGTCCTGTGGGAGGATATTCACAGGATCTCCATGACTGGGGCAGCCACTGGATATCCTAGAGGAGTCTCAGTAGGAACCCAGTGATGATGGTGTACCAGAAACCAGAGGTCTTCAGCCAGACCAGTGACTCATTGCAATGAGCATTTGCAAGTAAAGTTGATGGGACAAAAGGGTATATATGTGGCACACCACTCCTAATGCCACCAGGATGAATGAAGAGGTACTGAAGAGATGGGAAAGAAGAAGTGAAGAGGTTTTTTGGGGGGTTTGCTTTATTCTTGTTTTTGTTTGTTTGCTTGCTTTGTTTCATTTCGATTTTTTTTAAAAAAATGTTCTTTTGGGGAGGTACTGCAGGTGTGAGGTTAGGATATGGGGACACTTGGAGTTGAGCAGATTAGGGTGCATAAGGTGAAATTCCCAAGAATCAATAAAATATTTTGTTAAATAAATAAATAAAATTCTGAGAGGGTCTTAAAAACAAAGAAAGAACACTTCTTACAACAATGTGGCATAACTATCAAAGCATTTGCTCCATGAGCAAAGCTTTCAGAACAAGGTGCCACTGTACATTTTCATTCATATATCAGCAACTCATAGACTTCCTTAAGTCTGTGTTTTGTGCTTAATTAGGACTACTTATGAATGAGATAGTGTCAGGACTCCATCAGTTTCATCCTTCTCGAGGGTCATTTGTTGATGATTCCAACAGCCTCTTGCCCCTCTCCTGAACAGCTGTACCCAGGTACAGAGTAAACTGGAATGTCTGGGCATTTATAGTTCAGAGACAAATGTCAATCAACAAAGGAATTGAAGAAGGTGGATAAATACCCTGGCACTCCCATCTCTGAAGGAAAATTTCAAGGTATCTCTTAGCTCTTTAATGGGAATGAGAACAATGCCCACAATGGTAACTAATTCATCCAACCTTTATGGTGTTGTATGGCTTTTCATAGTAAGATGTAGAATAGGCTGAGTGTGGTAACACAAACCATTAATTCTGGCACTTGGGAAGCAGAGGCAAGAGGATCTCTGTGAGTTCAAGACCAGCCTGGTCTATATAACAAGTTCTGGGACAATCAGGACTACATAAAGAGGCCCTGTCTCAAACAAACCAACAAACCAACCAACAAACAAACCCAGATCAAACAACAAAAAATTCTTCTCTAGTAAGATGTGAACAAATGATATGGTACCAGTGACAGAGCAAAGGACACCTTGATGAGCCATGTGAGTTTATGGAGGTTACTTATAGGAATCTAGGTGAGGTGAGCAGTGGCTGTTACCTTTCCACTGACTACATGTGCCTGCTGAAAGGACCCTGGGATGGGTGGCCAATTTCTATTACCCATATACTTTCCTGCAACCCATCACACATCATCCTTTAGGAGGATAATTGCTTGCCTCAAGGGCAAACTTAATCTTTTTACCTATGTCTCTCTGTAAAATATCCCCTTTTTCATTCCTTTGGTGAACCATTGCTTAGGCTTTGAAATCATCTAGAGGCCCGTTACCACTACATTTGGCTTTGTGTCAATTTTTCTTTAGGAACTCTAGCTCAACAGAAATTTCCTGACATTTATTTTTGAGTGACACAGACAGAACTCATCATCTGTTCCCCCCACCTTCTTCCTCTCCACCCCCTTAAGTGCTTTGTCAACTTATTAACCCAATTTACAGCCATGTCTTTCTTACCCCAAAAAGATCACATTCCACCATGGGGCTCAGCAAAGTCACTGAATCCCCATACCAGCCCCAAGGTCCTTGCTAACATTTGTTAAGTGTTATGGGATATTTGTATACTGTGTGAAGATGTATTGCTGTGTTTGGAGTAACAAAGAGCTGAATAGCCAATAGCTAGGCAGGAGAGAATATGTGGGACTTCTAGGCAGAGAGGACTCTGGGAAGAAGAAAGGCATATTCCCCAGCAAGACACGGAAAAAGCAGGATGTGCAGTAGGGAGATGAGGTAATGAACCACACGGTACAATGTAGATTAAAAAGTATGAATTAATTTAATTTATAAGAGGTAGTTGGAAACAAGCCTAAACTAAAGACCAAGCTTTCATAATTAATAATAAATCTCCATGTCATTATTTGAAGGCTGGAGATCCCGAAGAGGAAGTATTACTACAGTAAAGTTTCCTGTGAACAAGACAATCTTGTCAAACATGGTGTAATAAACATCAATTACCATTCACCATGTGCCTGCTTCAGGTATGCTTGTCCTATTTCTATCATTTTCCAGTACATGATATTCATAAGCATCAGGTGGTAATAGCCAAATGTCCCTAATGGTTTGTACGAGTCAGTCTACCAAGGACTGATTTCATGCATACTGCCTCAGGTTACGTAGTATTTATAATCTCAAAGAGGGATATCACTCAATTTCTTTCTCTGTGGCACAGCTTCATGAGCCAACCCATAAGAAGTTCTTTTATTTCTTGTTAAAAAATCTTGACTAATTGAAGCAGTTAGGATGCTGAACATCCCCTGGTTATCACAGATTTTCCTTAAAAATCAGATCTGCAGGGTGTCACTTCCACATCACTCTTTCCTCTTTCACTGATTCCTGCCATACAACCTAAATTTTTGGGTCCCAGGAAGGGCTCATCAGCATAGTACAGGTCTCTTCAGTACTCTTTATCTCTTCTACCTTACCAGCTGTAGGAAACAGCAAGCTTCCACCTTCAATTCATCCTCCTCTTTTTCTTACTTTTCCTACCAAATCAGAACCTAAGGCCGAGGGTACCATCTATATGTATTTTTCCTGTTGTAATTTTTTCCTTACTTGTGTAAATATTTTCTAAGGATATCATTGAATCTCAGTTGTATGACTTACTGCCCACAACAAAGGCCATGAAACTATCTCCATAGTTTGCTTTTAGTTCCATCCCACATTTTCTATATTCAGGGATTGCAGTGTATCATCTACTCTAACAGCTATATTTAGAGAATCTGCATAATCAAGTGGCAGACCACATTTACAAAGACATGTACCTTATACTATGCAGAAGACTATACTTTATCACATAGTTTGGCCTTAGTTACATGTCTTATTACTCATAGCAGGAACCATAGAACTGCTAACAAGATGTGATAGCATTGTCTGGGTGGGAGCTCCATCTCAACCCCTGGCACCCTGGCATCCCTATATCCAAAGAGTCAGGAATGTTTGGAAGGAGTCTGGTGGAAGACCCACCTCGGCTCCCCTCCCCATCTCTTTCCTTAAACCTGCCCCTTCAAAGCCCATCAAACACAGCTCCTTCCCCAGAGAAGCTCAGGACGATTCCCACAGGGGATATATCAGCAGCATACCAGAAAACATACTCACGGTTCTTCTGGTCTCATCCCCTTCTCCTCTCTGTGGGGCTGGGGAATTGCCTGGAAGTGCTTTACCTACTAAACCTGGGCTTTTCCTGATTAGGTATGATTCTGTTTGTTGAGATGGTGGAGAGGCCATTGGGAGGCCTAAACTTATCAAGCATCCCATACCACACAGGGAAAGGCCGTCATGATGGGATTACCCCTATGGATGCTTCACCCTTATTTGGATCAGCCAGCCTCAGTTGCATGTCTTGTCACCCATTACAGAAGTCATATAACTGCTCTTCTAATCCTGTTGGTCTTTGTTTGGGTACTCATTATGTTGCTTGACTTTTCCTGGGGAAAAAAATTATTTACCCCAGATAGGGCACTGACTACAAACCAAAGAAAATTCCACTCAAGTGTTGCTTCAAGAAATGGTAAGTTTATTAGGGTTGCTAACAAGAGCACAGGGGATTGGTTACTTACAGGAATATGCCTGGCTTTCAGACAAAGGCCTCACCAAAAAACTAACCACATTATGGTTACTAATTCATAAAAGATACATTTTTAATGTTTCTTGACTAACTTGTAGGCAACAATGATCTCCTCTACCCTGGCAATAGTTTGCTGCTTATACAGTAGTAGGGAGGAATCTCCTGAGTCTTGTAAGTCTTGTGAGTTTCCTGTGTCTTATGAATTTCCCTTCCTACTGCAGGAGAGAATTTCAATTTAAAGGAAATTGTTATGTAGCATTTGCTTTTCTCTCTCTCTTCATTCTGGTAGGAAGAGTTTTCCAGGGTCATTGCACATGTATAGAATTTGTGTTTAACTGTTTGTTTTAGGTTTTCCTTTTGATGTAACCCACATGTAAATAATGTAATCTGAAAATGGAAATATAATTCAACATGCCCATACTGACAGTCTGCCTTTCAAACTCATTCCATTTATGTCATATCATGTTAGTTTCATTAGACTTTTCCTGTTTATGCATTTTATATCTGCTCCAGATAGTTTGTCTCTCTTTGAAAACTCATTATCTATTTCTTTGATTAAATTGACCAGAGAGTTTGGCTCTGAGATGTTAGCTTCATGAAATGATTTTATTTATTTATTTATTTATTTATTTATTTATTTATTTATTTATTTATTTATTTATTTATTTATTTATTAATTGACAGTGAACGTTCTTCCAGGTGGGTAATAGGAACACAACCATAATTCAGTTTGATTCCCTTTACCTACTATGGCTTTCAAAGAGTCTATCTCAAGTCAATTCAAAACCAACACATCTCTTTTTGAACTGGGTGACTTTGTACCAGAGAAAGAGATAGAATCAAGAGGCAATGGCAGGGTATATAACATGATACTCTATTCCCTCTTCCTCCCACATCCCCTACTCGATCATGGTGTCTTACACTGTGACATGGCCAAGTCTACAGGGACTCATATGGGGGCAAGCTTCTGGTAGTGTGTCTGAAATCAGCTGAGTTGAGATGCTATTGGAGGGAAGGAAGGAAGATTCCCAAATCTCATTTTGGTTCTGTCTGAAGGCCACGGCCTCTGCTGTTCACAAGAGTCTCTGTGTAGGTGATATACTTTTTTAGAGTTCAGTTTCAGCTGCACTCTGACCTCTTTTCCTGCAGAAAAGAAGCCATATCTCCCTAAATTTCCCTCCAATGCACAGTATGTGGTCGTGCATCTCATTTTTTACAGAAATTCCTCGTGTGTGTGCGTGTGTGCGCGTGCACGTGCGAGCGCGAGCATATGTACCATGGCATGCATGTGGTGGTCAGAGGACAACTTAACAGAGTCTCTCTTTGTACCATTTGGCTCCGGGGACTGCACTCGGGTTAGCAGGCTTGGTGGCAAGCATCCTACCACTGAGTCATCTCTCTGGCTTTCATTACTTTTTAAAAGTAATTTAACATGTTCCTTGATTCTTCTCCATGACCCATTATATACAGGCAAGAAAACATAATGCCTACTCCCTTTATAGCGAAGACTGAGGTCTTGTCTGTGGAAGATTGCCTCCATCTTTCTCTTCCTGGACACATGATGTACTAAGTCCTCCCTCATCCTTATGTCTCAGGTTATTTCATGAAAGCAACCTTCTAAAATTTCTAGACAAGAAATGGGCTCTTTGTCACAAACATTTCTCTTCAACTTTATGGGGTCAATGTTAGTGCTTCTTCTTGTCAGTTGAAGAGAATGGAGAGACTGAACACTCTATTCTACTTTAAGAGACCTCTAGATAAGTCTTTCAAGTAAAATTTGTTGGTAAAAAGCCTCAAATCAGCATACCATCCATGGGATAGAGAAGTAAAGTGGAGGTCTTTAGCTCTTCATCTGGTTTCCCTTGGACCTGGTTTCTCAGAATTTAATTTTTTTTTCTAAGTAGGGTATCTGGATCACATTCTTACATAACTGGTAACCTTTAGGGATAGGATTGTTTTATCTTCAGTTTGAGACATCATGACATAACATATAAACCAGTTCATTTGCATCCCAAGATCATCAACACACCATCCCTACTTACTCAATAAGACAAATTCAGAAAATGAGTCTTTCCAATAGCACAGTGGGGAAAAGGCAAACGCTTGCTTTATTTGTGTGCAGTTTCTGCCGGTGCTCAGTGCTCACAGACCCCGTTAAGCTACATGAACATTTTGTAAACTTACCAAATACTGTAAAAAATGCCCAATGATAAGAAAATTACAGAAAACGTTTCCATTACACTGTCAAAAGTTGTTTGAATCAAAAGTCGGCTATTTCCTGCAATTAATTTTTAAATGTTGATTATAGTTAAAAATGATTCTGATTTATTCTTCTTTCTTCTCCTACATAGTCCTGGCTGAATTATGACACTGCTTTGTGACATTTTGGGATTGCCATTTTTGGGGGTTGAGATTGCTTTTATTCTTACACATTTATATTAAAACTTTAAGAGTTTACATAAAACAATGATCTGTGTTTTATGCAACAAAGTTATAGGTTCTATTTAGGATAAAGCATTTCCAGTTTGGGGAAAAACTGAACAGCTAATCAGCAGAAGGTCATTTTATGCCTTTTTTCCTTTTAAACTATAATAAATAATTATCAACCTATTAATTACAAAAAAAATTCTTAATTATGCTTAGAGCAACCAGAGTATCTTCACAAACTTATTTTCATGTTTGTTACAGTATGCGAAGTTATTAAGTAAAGTCTCTGGTTTTCTAGTTTGGTAACAAATGGCTTTTGTCTGATGCATAATTAATAGAAACTATTGATGACTATGTAGCACTTCCAGAATTTTAAAGGCAAATCTATATTGGCCTACAGTTAACATGCAAATTCATCCAACAAGCAACACAAAATGTATTGTAGTAGTCATTCATTTTTATCAACATTCAGGAAGATCTAGACAGCAGCACAACTCTCCTTATGTTGGAAACACATTATAACATGGTCACCACTGAAGTTAGACCATACCTGGTAAAGTACTCCCTTGCTAATTCACCCTCTATCATCCGTTCAGACTTCCAGCACAATACATGGATAACAGTGATTAATACTGCGGCATGAAGATAACACAGACAAGAGTTTGGTATGCTAGCATACAGAGTCTTAGAAACAGTGACACACAGAACCAAACAGCTTGCCTCGTTCACTCTCCTGTTGTGAGCCTGGGATTTCCATGGTCTCACGGAAACATTCTATCTGGGGAACTAAGTCCAATGATTCCAGCACTGAAATTGCTCCCTGGGAGGGAAATTTGGTCACAGGAGATGCCATGCTTATTTAAAGGTGGGCATCAAGGGGAATATCTTGCTCTTCAAAAATGGGTGTGTTGCCACAATCCTTGAGGGGAAATTATTTTCCAAAATACTTAGCGTTATCTCAAGGAGTTGTTTGGCTGATCCTGTGACTCAAATTTTATTTCACTGTATTTGGTTGGGTAAATGAAGTGTCCACATCATCACTCTTAGCTCTTCTTCCATTACATAAGACACTTATTAGGATAAGAAAGATTTTCTGCTAAAGCTGACGGTGACTGAGGGTCATTTAGTATTCAAAGTTCCTAAAGAATCGTTGGTTCTCTGAAAGGGATAAAAAAGTAGGAAAGGTTTTGTTCAAATGCCTGCTAGTAAACAAGTATTACTTCAACCGAGACAATGGCTACGTGACATCAAAGTACTATAAATTATCAAAACTATCGTACAGAAAAATTACAAATTCATTGCAAAATACATTACACTGCTACCATTAAGAAAAAAAGTGCTTTTTCTTTTCTTTTCTCTCTTTCTTTCCTTTTTTTTTGCCAGAAAAGTATTCTTTCAATATAGAAAATCCTATGCGGTACCCTGCATGTGGCTAGGATATATCATAACGGAGTTTGTACTGAGTCCTTCTGATTCACTGGAAGAAGGGCTGAAAATGTATAATGATGACTTATTAAAGCCATGCTCCAAATGACCATGCCAGCTGTCAGTGGAGAGATGCCTATTTAAGACACTAGAAGATGCCCTGGTCTGTCAAACCCTGCCGGTCAGGTCATCACACTGTCCCACTAATCAGCTGGTTTAGAATGCACAGGCCTATTCATGTTCTGTGGGTTTTTCCTCATGTTCTCCTGAATCATTCTCATTTCTTCACTGAGATTTGTCTCCTATATGAATCTGCTCAGTGATGCCTGTATTGTCTCATGAGTGGAACGATGCAAGATGGTGGACCTGCCAATTTTAAGAATGGATGTCCAAGAAGCTCTTGGGCTGTGGCTCTTTGAGAGGGCTCCCTCACCAACATCAGATCCAGGAATCCTCGGAGCATGGAAGAAACCTGTGAAAAGAAAGAGACACCACACTGAGGACTAACATAGAAGCCCAGTCCAGTGTCCTAAAATAATGTCCCAAAAAATCTCATCAATGATTTCACATTAAATGAAATGAAGGAGAAAGATAGGGAAGAAAAACATGTGCTATCATTAAAATTGCTTTCAAAGTTGGAAACAATGGGGATAAAAGGTAGAGTAACTATTTATTAAATAAAATAATGATGGTAACTAATGAAAGCAACTGTTATGTCTAGATTATATGGGCACTAGTGGCATGTGTGAGAAAGTTCACCGAGACTATGAAATAGTGCTTGATGGACACCCTCCCCACTTCACAGAGAGAAACATATTTCTATTTAATTTTTGTAAAGTTAACTTTTCTGACAGATATCAGATGTTACTTGGTGATGAACATCATTAAATGAATGTCCTGATTGACTTTAGCATATGTTGACATCTGTTCACTCTCTAACTCTATTGAGATCTAGAACATTTCTGCCATTCTAAGAGGGTGCCTCAGGCTTCTTCTTGGCATTACCTATAGCCATACAAAAGGTAATGAGTATCCTTACTTCTAATAGGATGCATTAATTTTGCCTGCTTTTAAGTTTTGTGCAATATTATATATATAGACACATATAATTATATATATACATATAACTTATATGTATATAATATACATATAATTTATGTATAAGTTACACTACAATTTTGTACAAATACACACATATATATTTATATGTATATATTATCATAGATATATTATAGCATAAATATATATACAAAAATATAGTATATATACAAACACATATATTTGTATACTGTTAACTTTCACTGGCTTATTTTCACTTAAAATTGCATTTGTGAGTTTCTTTCCTCATTTGTTTTATTGTTTTCAATTTTGTATAGCTATCCAATTATTCCATAGCTTATTTATTCATTTGGGAAACACAGCTGGGCTTTTTCCAGCTTTTAAACATTAGAAGTAAATATATCCTTGTGTATTCATTAGCACTCAACTCTATTGGATGTGGAGTTATTTTCACACAACAGGTTTTTAGTTAATTTTCATTTGTTAATCTTAATCCAATCTATCAAAAATTTCAAACTCTTATTGAATTTTTGTAGTTTTATTTTTGCTTAATTTCTCTGCACAAGCTATAACAACAATTCTATTGTTATCGTCAGTAATACATGAGAGGAAATGGGGAGCTTCTACCATTTCAAATCCCTCTCCCCTAAAAGGCAGCCTCATGTTTCATCTGTTATAAAGCAGATCAAGGGAGGTATGGCTAAGCCAAGGTTGATCTTGAAATCAACCTCGAGGTTGATCAGGTCTTACAGTGAGCTGCAAGCTAGCAGGGTAACTCTTGGAATAACCATGAGCCTTAGCGTAGTCCCAGTTGCTATGTCTTGGAACATGTGAAAACCACATTCATTGGTCCTTGATATGAACAGCCCTTTCTCTCCCTGACTGATGTAGCTCCTGCCTATTTCTCTGGAATGTTCTATCCTTATCTCCTTGATGAATTGTTCCAACACACAAGCTTTCTCCCTTGGCTTCAGGTCCTTGTATTATCTGATGCTCCTTCTGCATGGATATATTTTTCTTTTAGATCTTTGCATGACTAGTGACTTTTTTCCATTTGTTTCAGATGAATCTTTCTGTAAAGGGCATCCTTGGTTTTTCATACTAAAGCAGCTCCCAGTCTTCTGTCTTGTACATTCGATATCTTCACAGTGCTTTGTGTTCTTCATAGCGTTCATTGACTATTTTTAATTTATTTGTGTAAATTGTATTACCTTCTTCTCTAATTAGAATGAAAGCTCTACAAGAGTCAAGAAATCTGGATACTCCTACCAATTAGAAGTCCCCCTCAGGTACCAGCTACTACTCAGTGATGACATGCTGGAAGGAGAATCCCAATTCACTTCTCACTAGCTCTTTGAGAGAAGATCTGGTGACACCCCATTTATAGATTGGAGGTGTGGAGGTGTGATTGAAGGCTTGGAGCCACTTGCTCTATAAATACACAGAAAAACAGATCTGAATCCAGATGATTAAATCCAAACCCTTACCCTCAAATCAGACCCACCATATTGGAAATGCCAGTCTTTAAATGAACAAGGAGGCTGAAAAATCCAGTAACTATTCTGGACGTAGCAGCACACACCAATCCTCACCTTGTGTAGGTCCTTCACTCTTGGAGGTAAACTGTCCCGGATCCTCCGCATTGCTTGGAGAGGAGGCTCATTGAAATAGGGGGGCTCACCATCAATCATCTCTATCACCATGATCCCAAGGGACCAGATGTCCACCTGTTAGGCACAATCTACTAGTTATGTAAGGAATGGAGAACATTCTAGAGCTCTGGTTGTGTTGTGAAACCCAATATCCATATTTATTCACAAACTAATTAATTTCACAAATTAATTTCAAACTTTATGACACAAATTTACATGATGAATTGTATTATCACCCTTTTTGCTAATTATCTCATCTTTCTTTTCAAAGGAGATTTACTGTGTGTGTGTGTGTGTGTGTGTGTGTGTGTGTGTGTGTGTGTGTAAAAGTAACGGTAGGTGCTCTCAGAGGCCAAAGAGGATGTTAGGGCCTCTGGAACTGGAGTCACAGGCAGCTGTGAGCAGCCTGATGTGGGTATTGTGAGTTGAACTTTGGTCTTCTGCAAAAACAGTAATGCTCTCTTAAACATGGGGCAATCCAGCTTCCTAGGCCCTGTAGACTTTTCAAAGATGACACTAGTAAAGTTTCTACTAGTTCATTAGAAGTGAAAATTCACCATTCTCAAGTCTAGAGCTTTAATTTTTATCCTGTTAAGCTCTGTATTAACTATATACCAGGGTAAATGAAAGAAAGGAAAGAAGGAAATGAAGGAGGGAGGAAGGAAGGAAGGAAGGAAGGAAGGAAGGAAGGAAGGAAGGAAGGAAGGAAGGAAGAAAGGAAGGAAGGAAGGAAGAAG